TCCGGTATGCCAAAAATAGATGGATGGGGATCTGGTGGATCAGATCAGATGGCAGTCGGATGGAAATGGACAGATGGTCTGTTTCCATCAGACCGCCCCTTAGAAGACAGCGGGCCGTGTCTGTGTTCGCTCTGCAGCAGCGGAGCGGACACGGACCTGTCATTCGCCTGCTCAGCGGAGAGATCCCCCAGCTGAGCAGGAGGATCCGCTGACAGGTCCACCCCCTCTGAAAGGATTGCGCCATCCACAAACCTCCACGGATCGGCGGGTGTCAGCGGACATCCGATCCTGTATGCCAAAAACAGAGTTATGGGGATACGTTCCCCGTCTGTCTGGTGGATCGGATCAGATGGAAATGGACAGGCGGTCTGTTGCCTGCCGGCATCCGATCCTGTATGCCAAAAATAGATGGATGGGGATCTGGTGGATCAGATCAGATGGCAGTCGGATGGAAATGGACAGATGGTCTGTTTCCATCAGACCGCCCCTTAGAAGACAGAGGGCCGTGTCTGTGTCTGCTCTGCAGCAGCGGAGCGGACATGGGTCTGTCATCCACCTGCTCAGCGGGGATCAGCGGAGAGATCCCCCGCTGAGCAGGTGGATCCGCTGACGGGTCCGCCCCCTTTGAAGGGATCAGACCGGGGCGGACTGACCATTTGGAAACTCGGGCACTGCCCGAGGGCCCGGGGTCAGTAGGGGGCCCATGAGATGCCTCTGGTACCTTTTTCACAGGCTTTTTTGAGTTTGGGCAAGGACACAGGGGCTCCATGATCCCCTTTTGCCCGGGGGCCCCATAAGTTGTCAGTCCACCCCTGGATTGGACCATCCATAGACCTCTATGGACCGGCAGGTGTCAGCAGAGAAGTGTCCACACACCGTCATCCGATCCAATCCTGTATGCCAAAATGCCACCGTCTGGTGGATTGGATCAGATGGAAGTGGACAGACGGTCTGTTTCCATCTGACCGTCCCACAGAAGACAGCGGACTGTGTCTGCTCTGCAGCATCAGAGCGGACACGGACCTGTCATCCGCCTGCTCAGCGGGGATCAGCGGAGAGATCCTCCCCTGGGAGCGCGCTGTGTCCTCCGAACACCGATCGCTGATCACATGAATAGTAGTAAGCAAGATGTCACTTCCTGACATCACTGCTTACTACTTGTGAAATCTGTGAAAGATCACAGAGATCACATGGTACAGGGCCATTCACAACATCCTTGTACCATGTGACAAGCTGTGACCAATCACAGCTCACACAGTATTTCTCAATAGCTGCAGGAATGCAGCCAGAAAGGAGAAATTATGGTTTTTAGAGCCTTTATGGTGTGTAAAAGCAATCAGTGTAAAAAAAGAAAAAAAAAATCTTCATCACCCCCCACAAGTAGTACAGTGTCACCATGGTGACCATGTACAGCTAGGGTGACAGTATGTTAAAAAAAAAAAAACAACATGAATAATAATATAAAAAAATAAAATAAAAATGTGAAAAATTATAATTTTTGGTTATAAACTAATTTGGGTTATTTATTTTTTTTACTAAAAAGATAACTGAATACATTTTGGCCAAGATTTATCAAGAAAAATTATTAATTTGCAAAAAAATCATAAGAAAAACACTTTTTTTTTCAACATTTTTGGATTTTTTTATTTATATGGCAAAAAAATTAAAATCCCAGCGGTGAATAAATACCACCAAAAAAAAACTTTATCTGTCTCAAAAAAATGCTAAAAAATTCATACGGGTCCAGTGTTGCATGACCGCGCAATTGTCATTCAAACTGTGATAGCGCTGAAGGCTGAAAATTGGCCTGGACTGGTAGGGGGTGAAAGTGTCTGGACTGGAAGGGGGTGAAAGTGTCCGGACTGGAAGGGGGTGAAAGTGTCTGGACTGGAAGGGGGTGAAAGTGTCCGGACTGGAAGGGGGTGAAAGTGTCTGGACTGGAAGGGGGTGAAAGTGTCTGGACTGGAAGGGGGTGAAAGTGTCTGGACTGGAAGGGGGTGAAAGTGTCCGGACTGGAAGGGGGTGAAAGTGTCCAGACTGGAAGGGGGGGAAAGTGTCCGGACTGGAAGGGTGTGAAAGTGTCTGGACTGGAAGGGGGTGAAAGTGTCCGGACTGGAAGGGGGTGAAAGTGTTCGGACTGGAAGGGGGGGAAAGTGTCCAGACTGGAAGGGTGTGAAAGTGTCCGGACTGGAAGGGGGTGAAAGTGTCCGGACTGGAAGGGGGGGAAAGTGTCGGGACTGGAAGGGGGGGAAAGTGTCCGGACTGGAAGGGTGTGAAAGTGTCTGGACTGGAAGGGGGTGAAAGTGTCCGGACTGGAAGGGGGTGAAAGTGTCCGGACTGGAAGGGGGTGAAAGTGTCCGGACTGGAAGGGGGTGAAAGTGTCTGGACTGGAAGGGGGTGAAAGTGTCCGGACTGGAAGGGGGTGAAAGTGTCCGGACTGGAAGGGGGTGAAAGTGTCCGGACTGGAAGGGGGTGAAAGTGTCTGGACTGGAAGGGGGTGAAAGTGTCCGGACTGGAAGGGGGTGAAAGTGTCTGGACTGGAAGGGGGGGGGAAAGTGTCCGGACTGGAAGGGGTGAGAGTGTCTGGACTGGAAGGGGGGGAAAGTATCTGGACTGGAAGGGGGGGAATGTGTCCGGACTGAATGGGGGTGAAAGTGTCCGGACTGGAAGGGGGGAAAGTGTCCGGACTGGAAGGGGGGGGGAAGTGTCCGGACTGAAAGGGGGTGAAAGTGTCCGGACTGGAAGGAGGGGAAAGTGTCCGGACTGGAAGGGGGGAAAGTGTCCGGACTGGAAGGGGGTGAAAGTGTCCGGACTGGAAGGGGGTGAAAGTGTCCAGACTGGAAGGGGGGGGGAAAGTGTCCGGACTGGAAGGGGGGGAAAGTGTCCGGACTGGAAGGGGGGGAAAGTGTCCGGACTGGAAGGGGGTGAAAGTGTCCGGACTGGAAGGGGGGTGAAAGTGTCCGGACTTGAATTGGTCAATCAGCATTTTTGGCAGGGGGTGTTTTTTTGGCTGGAAATAACCCCAGAATTAGCGGGTTTCTAGAGGAGTTTCTTTGCTGTAAAAATGCTCTAATGCTGGTAAATGTTGAAAAACGCAGCAAACCAGCGTTTATGGGCTTTTTCTTTTTTTTTTGTAAAAAAAACAAATGCTAAAAAATGCAAACGCAGCTAAACGCTAATGCAAAAATGTAAAATAAATGTGTTTTTAACGTGACTTAATATAGCTAACGCTACTGGTGTTTTTGAAACGCCCCCGGTGTGCATGAGGACTGACGTTGATCAAACACTCACTGCGGGTGTATCTTCTAGGTGCACGTGCTTTTTTTTTTTAATGACAGCGATTGATTCACCAATAGAGAATATTTTATGAGATTCACATTCGCTGCTTTAGAAATATACCCATTTGTCTGCGAAGGTATGCATCCTGAGCAATCTTTGTAATCTGATCTCTCCTGCTGTTAAGTTCTATTTGACTGCACAGTTAGAGCCTGCAGAAAGCCAGAGCTTGGAAGCCAATGATCACATACAGTATCAGCTTCACATCTTTGCTTTAACCCCTCGCCCTCCAGAAGATCCCCCCCCCCACTTCCTGACCAGGCCATTTTTTGGCGACACGGCGCTGCGTTACTTTAACTGACAATTGCTAAAAAAATTACTGGAACCAATCCTTCGTGTGTGGCTGAAAGCCGGCTTCTTTCTCCTTTCCCTCCCGCTGGCTTTCAGCTGCTGCAGAGGGAGCCATACAGGGGATCTGTTCCAATAATTGCCCCCCATCACCCTTGCTGTGCACCCCCTGCTCCCCAAGCCCCCACCCCTGCAGTGCTGCCAGCTTCCCTCCTCTCCTTCCCACTTGCAGCTGCAAGCGCACAATAGGATCCTTCAGGATGGAGCATGGGGAAAGGGTCCAGTAAATATGCCACATTTACTAGCCCCTTCCTTTCCTGAATGAACACAATGAGTGATCGGTACCAATCATTTTTTTTAAGTTATAAGGCTGAGTAGCAGCCAGGGAGGGGGTCAAATTTGGGTCAGGGCTTGAAAGGATCTGCAGAGCAGTTCCCTGATACCTCCCCCTGATCTAGAGATTTGGAGAAGGTGGGGGTGAAGAGGAGCTGGTCTGCACTCTTAAGGGACCCTGACCAATCCCCAGGTAGAAGGCTTGGAATGGGGTCAGGACAGCCCTTTAGGGTATCTGAGTCTGTTCAGCAGGAGGAGAGTTGGGAGATGGAGTGAGCAGGATGGAGTGTGGAGCCTGAGAGGGGGCCCAGGAGAGGGACCTACCTACAGGCAAAGGAGCTGGAAGGGAGGATCTCTCATCCTCAGTCATCCCCTGAGAGAGGACAGCTTGAGATAGGACAAGCCCCCCTGTGTGCCCCCAACCCCCCCCCCCCCCCCCAGTGCTGCCAGCTTCCCTCCTCTCCTTCCCACTTGCAGCTGCAAGCGCACAATAGGATCCCGCAGGATGGAGAGTGGGGGAAGGATCCGGTAGATATGACACATTTACCAGCCCTTCCTTTCCCGAATGAACACAATGAGTGATCAGTACCAATCATCTTTGTTTAGTTAGAAGGCTGAATAGCAGCCCGGTAGGGGGTCAAATTTGGGTCAGGGCTTGAAAGGATCTGCAGAGCAGTTCCCTGATACCTCCCCCTGATCTAGAGATTTGGAGAAGTCTCTAGGGCTCAGTGGGTGGGGGTGAAGAAGAGCTGGTCTGCACTCTTAAGGGATCCTGACCAATCCCCAGGTAGGAGGCTTGGAATGGGGTCAGGACAGCCCTTAAGAGTATCTGAGTCTGTTCAGCAGGAGAGTTGGGAGATGGAGTGAGCAGGATGGAGTGTGGAGCCTGAGAGGGGGCCCAGGAGAAAGACCTACCTACAGGCAAAGGAGCTGGAAGGGAGGATTTCTCATCCTCAGTCATCCCCTGAGAGAGGACAGCCTGAGAGAGGACAAGTCCTCCCTGTATGCCCCCACCCCTGCAGTGCTTCCAGCTTCCCTCCTCTCCTTCCCACTTGCAGCTGCAAGCGCACAATAGGATCCTTCAGGATGGAGCGTGGGGGAAGGGTCCAGTAAATATGTCACATTTACCAGCCCCTTCCTTTCCTGAACAAACACAATGAGTGATCAATACCAATCACTCACTGTGTTCATTCATAACTGAAGCATAGTAAACTGTTTTGGGTTTTTTTGAGGGGCCTTGTAAGTTTGGCTGTCAGTGGTCCTGTGGTTTCTAACAGCAGCCCTGGCCTCTGACCCCAGATGAAATCTCTTCTTCGTCCAGCTGCCTGAGGGAATCCCTGGGCAAGGGGACCCGGAAACTGCCACTTTAGGATCAGCACTCCCAGATGGGGGCTAGTCAGGTTTCCCACCCGAATGCCCTCTCCCCTTATCTGGCCCAGGGGGGTGCAGGATTACTCAGTCCTCTCCTGCATGCTTATGGGGTGGTGGCTGCCTTCAGGCCTTATGCTGGTATGGATCCTTCCCTGCTTCCCAGGCTGTCCTCTCTCGGGGGATGATTGAGGATGAGAGATCCTCCCTTCCAGCTCCTTTGCCTGTAGGTAGGCCCCTCTCCTGGGCCCCCTCTCAGGCTCCGCACTCCATCCTGCTCACTCCATATCCCAACTCTCCTGCTGAACAGGCTCAGATACTCTTGAGGGCTGTCCTGACCCCATGCCAAGCCTCCTACCTGGGGATTGGTCAGGATCCCTTAAGAGTGCAGACCAGCTCCTCTACACCCCCACCCACTGAGCCCTAGAGAATTCTCAAAATTAGGGGGGGAGGTATCAGGGAACTGCTCTGCAGAGCCTTTCAGCCCTGACCCAAATCTGACCCCCTCCCTGGCTGCTACTCAGCCTTCTAACTTAAAAAAATAATTAGCTAGTTTCCCCTGGCTAACTAGGTGGGAACTACACAAGTCGCACATGAAATCGCCAAAAATAGTGCAGGAACCTTTTTTTCAAAGTGGGTGCCGCAACGCAAAGCCGGAGTTGCACCAGTTTCAACGGTTCCATAGGCACAAATAGGGTGCGACTTGTCATGTGATTTTGAACCGTCCGATTGCCATGGTGTGAACGGGGGCTTAGACGAGTATACAGTATAAATTTGGAAAGATGAAGGGAGGTAGTTGTATAAAAAAAATGATATTAAAGTTTAGGTCTGCTACAAGTCTTTGGAGTTTCAGATGAAATTGGCGGCAGCGTTTTTGCATGGAATTTGGCATCCCCGGCAACGTCCTTATGCCAAATACAATATCCCCATAGGGGGCTACACTTATATAGAGATGCAGTGAACGCAATATCGTCTGTAAAACACGTCTAGATCTGAAGAAGGTCACATGTTGCAATAAAGTTGGAGAAAAGGCCCGGGGGACCAGGAGGATCTTCTTGATTGAAATGATGGAGATCTGATAACGACCATTCCAGGGCTGGATAGAAGACACAATGATTGTCTATCAGACTGGAGAAAGATAATAATTTGTGGTGACAGTTTTCCCCAAATTTTCCCAAACTGACAAGTTTGAAAAGAATCAGTAAGAAAAATGTGTTACCCCAACATTTGATATTACTGATATGTGTCTGGTTTACCGTGTACTAGTGTTACAAAGTCTCCTGTTTTCTTTCCATTGCTTCCTTTCCATGAAATCCCTGCCCCTCCCTCTGCTTTCCTATTTCAAACTGACCACACTAGGCATGAGAACACATCTATCCCAGCATAGTCAGGTTTGTGGCTGTGCTGGGAGAACAACTTGCCTGTCCTCCAATGGTCAAAACTGTGCTGACATGCACAGCTCTTCACTGGGAAGATTAGTGTTCTGCTGTTTCTCCACCCCCTGCTCTCTGAAGCCCATGTGAAGCTGAGAACAGAGATTATATGATTATTTATATAAAAGAAAACTAAAGATATTAATAATATTATTATTATTATTATTATACAGAATTTATATGGCGCCAACAGCTTGTGCAGAGCTTTACAATATGAAGGCAGACATGACAGTTACAATACAATTTGGTACAACAGGAATCAGAGGGCCTGGCTCACTGGAGCTTACTATCTAAGAGTATATACATAGATAGATAGATAGATAGATAGATAGATAGATAGATAGATAGATAGATAGATAATAGATAGATAATAGATAGATAGATAGATAGATAGATAATAGATAGATAGATAGATAATAGATAGATAGATAGATAGATAGATAGATAGATAGATAGATAGATAGATAATAGATAGATAGATAGATAGATAGATAGATAGATAGATGATAGATAGATAGATAGATAGATAATAGATATAGATAGATAGATAGATAAATAGATAGATAGATAGATAGATAGATAGATAGATAGATAATAGATAATAGATAGATAGATAGATAGATAGATAGATAGATAGATAGATAATAGATAGATAGATAGATAGATAGATAATAGATAGATAGATAGATAGATAGATAGATAGATAGATAGATAATAGATAGATAGATAATAGATAGATAGATAGATAGATAATAGATAGATAGATAGATAGATAGATAGATAGATAGATAGATAGATAGATAGATAGATAATAGATAGATAATAGATAGATAGACAGATAGATAGATAGATAGATAGATAGATAGATAATAGATAGATAATAGATAGATAGATAATAGATAGATAGATAGATAGATAGATAGATAGATGATAGATAGATAATAGATAGATAATAGATAGATAGATAGATAGATAGATAGATAGATAGATAGATAGATAGATAGATAGATAGATAGATAGATAGATAGATAGATAGATAGATAGATGATAGATAGATAATAGATAGATAATAGATAGATAGATAGATAGATAGATAGATAGATAGATAATAGATAGATAGATAGATAGATAGATAGATAGATAATAGATAGATAGATAATAGATAGATAGATAGATAGATAGATAGATAGATAGATAATAGATAGATAATAGATAGATAGATAGATAGATAGATAGATAGATAGATAGATAGATAATA